GGAGGGGCCAGGCACCTCCATTTCAAATTAATTTTGGTTTTCACACTAGAATCAAGATAGTCTATTAAGGCCCTGGCCAGACGTGCCGGAAAACGCGGCCAAGGGGGGGAGGCGTGGCTATTTGCGCCGTCGCATTCTGATGCGCTATTATGCGATCAGATGCGCCGGCGGCTTCCCTGCAGCAAAGACGACAACGGGGGAGGAAGCCACACGCCGGCGTGATCACACTGGGAGGCAGCCCATGGCAAAGCGTTTGCTAGTACATGCAACTATATTCGCCCAGCCTCTTCTTGAAAGCTGTCAGTGAAGGGGAGCTCACCACCTCCCTGTTTGTTTGCATTTTTGTTTTGTGTTTTTTTTTCTGTTTAAGATGTATATGTCGGAAATGTAATAAAAATTTATTAAAAAAAAATTTAAAAAACAACGGGCAGGAAGGAGAGATCACAGAGGGAATGCTAAACAAAACTAAACCCTTTCGGTAAATTCATGCTGGACCAACAGAACTATTACGATAGCTCAACAAGGCCTTCCATATAAAGTCGCCATATACTTGAGAATGAAAAAACCCACTGATGCCTTACTGGCAATACTAGCTCCTTCTGTTCACTGTCAGCCATGCTTAGGAGAACAGAAAAGAAGGACGGATGCGGTATATAGCACAATGGCTAAGCAAATAAGCTGTGGTATTGGGGGCGGGAGGGAGGTTGGTTCAAATGCCGCTGCTACCGCCAACTCCCTGAGCGCCTTGAACAAACCACTCGGGCGCTTCTATTTTAGTAGTGTCCCCTCCGCACATTCCAATAGGGGGATAATACAGTGGTCTCCTTCATAGTAACCATCTCTGTAAAGTAGAAGCAAAGCGTTTCGCCATTTCAGTGGCACATCCTGACGGTTTTGCCTGCCTCTTCTGCCCTGTATCACCTCTAAACACCTGCCTCCTGGAGGGATCACAGCCCTGCTCGTGAAGCAGGTGAGGCTGATTTCAGTTCTCCACCCCCCACAGCATGCAGGGGGAAGGGAGGGTCAAGAGTTTTACTGGAAGCTACTGGGAACGAAGGAGGTCAGGCTGGGAAAGAAAGGTTAACAGCTTCAGAGTTGGTAGTGGAAAGCAACAGAAGGCGGGCAAGGAATAATTTTTAGAAAATTAAATTGCTCCAGGGTAGCTACGATTTTTTAAAAAAATTTACTCCTCCCCTCTGTTGGGATGTGCAGCTCACTAGCCTCCTCTTGCACCAATCCACGGCTACGCATACCCTGTTCCCCCCACACGCACACGCACACAACTGCTTACCAAAATAAACAGACATCACAGGCTTAAACCTGGCTTTTGTGGGAACTGGAAATCAGGCTCTACCCAGGGCATGTAAAGACAGGATTTTTGATGGGTGGGGTGGGAATACATGCAGCACGACCTGTAAATAAGGTCTCAAACTGTTCAGAACGCACTGCAAGTTGGATAAACAGCAGCAGAAAAATACTCCCTGTGCTCTGAAAGCAGACAGGGCCCAAAGATCAACACCAGAAAGGGGGGGGGGGGCAAACAGAAAAACAATGAAGCAATCCTCCCCAGTTTTCATGAGAGTGCCTTCAACTCCAAAACGGTAGGTTCAGACAAACAAGTGCATGAAGGGACCAATTGCTGGCAGGAATCGGAACAGAATTCATTCTGTCCAAAGGAGGTCAGAGACAGGGCAGGTTTCTTGATGCTGAAAGGAGAAGATCTGAGTCTGGGAATCACAGGTAACTGACACTTGGAACATTAGAATCAAAAGAAGAAGAGAAGATATTGGATTTATACCCTGCTCGTCACTACCTGATGGGGTCTCATAGCGGCTTACAAAGTCCTTTCCCTTCTCCTCCCCAGACACCCTGTGAGGTGGGTGGGGCTGAGAGCGCTCTTTCAAGAACTGCTCCTGAGAGAACAGCTCGGAGAGAACCTGTGACTGACCCAAGGTCACACCAGCAGCTGCATGTGGAGGCGTGGGGAATCAAACCCGGTTCTCCCAGATTAGAGTCCGCATTCCTAACCACTGCATCAAACTGGCTCCAGGGCGTACGTGTGTTCAGTAAACCACTAAATAATAAAGAAGGCAGAAGACTGGCAGTGGGCAAAGCCACCTGTCTGAATCTGTCCTTCCCCAAAAAGTCAAGGTTTTTTTGTTTGTTTTTTAGAGTTTGGCAGGAGGTGGCCACTGCAGAATCCCACCTGGCAGGTTTGAAGGAGCTTGGATGCCCAACTTCCTTGGAGGAAGATGCCAGTGTCACTCCAGAATCCTGGAACGGGAGGAGCAACGCTAACAACGCAGAATCCCCCAAATCCTCAAGAACAGATGCCACAACACTGCCCTGTTTTTTCCTCATGGTGCCATCACGGCCTGGCAGTTTATAGCTGGGATGAATTCAGTGCCCACGGCAGTCTCTTAGTTCAGATGTGGGGCACACACGTGGGCTGCCCCTCAGAGAGGCAGGTAGAGTGAGTACTCCGAATGGGCCCACTTCTTCGCGGGCTTGGTGGTTCTCCCGATCATGGGCAGCTTCTGGGCGTAGCGGGAGACGGGGCTGGGGCCGTGGTGCTGGAGGAAGCAGGTCTGGAAGAGGCGGCCCTGGCAGCGCCGCTCCACCTGGCGCCCGGCGATCACAAAGCTGAAACGGGGAGCCCCTTGGGGGGAGAAGCGGCACTTCTGGAAGACGTCCCGGATGCCGGGCCGGTGCCCCTGCTGGCGGGAGGTGCTGCGGGACCGGGCCAGGCTGGCCGAACGGTGCAAGGGTGGCCGGCTGGTTGAGAAGTCTCCCCGAGGGCTCTCCTCCTCCCGCGGGCTAACCGTGGCGTTTGCAGTCAGCTGGGGCATCTTTCGCACTGCATCCCCTGTCCCAAAGGCCGGCTGTTCTTTCTTGGCGTCCACCACCTTGGGAGTGCTGGCAGGCACCGGTTCTACGGGACACAGCCCAGAGCCTGTGCCAAAGCGGGTGGCCAAGCTATCCCCAAAGAAATAGTAGAGTTCCTGGTAAATCTCGTTCAGAGAGACGGCGGGTGGGTTGGCGGAGATGCCCACACCCGCCTGGGGACCTCCGCTGCCCAGCTGTAGCAGGTGGCTGGCGATGCCAAAGCCAAACTCCACTTGGGGGTCCTGGAGGGGGCTGAGCCAGGGGTAGCCCTCCCTTGCACGCCCCTCCCCCCCTGCACCCTCTGCCTGGATTGGTGCCGAAACAGACTGCGCCTTCATCTTCAACAGGCGCTCCACGGCTACCTGGAGAGGAAGAAGAGATGAAATTAAATGGGAGGTCTGTTGGCAGGCAGCAGAATTGCTAGTAGGAATTTGGTCGTCTATGGCGAGTTAGAACTTTTTCCAGGCAACCAAATGGAGAAAGTAAGAATAACTGCCCATATATATGCATTCCCTGTTGTGGACCCCTATCGTATAGAATTACCTGCCTGAGAAGGTTAGACAGGATCCCACCCTCCTGGCATTGCACAAACTATGCAAAACTGAATTATTCAAGAGGGCTTTTAGGGTTGTTCTGTAGTGAAATTATTCAGAAAGATGCTTTGGCAAAGGGACAGGGGATGTGGACTATACTACTGTGCACTATTTGTACTGTCTGTAGCTGGAATGGTGATCCTACTGTATAGTTTCTGCATCATTTAACATGTCACCTTAATGCTTATTGCTTTGTCTCAGCGCAGTTTCAGATCCCTGCAATCCAAATCCTGTTGCGTTGCCCCATTCTGATGATTGTATCGACTTACCCTGTGTAACCCGCCTTGAGTCTGAATGACAAAGGCGGACATAAATAAAATAAAGAATAAATAAGTGGACAGTCAAATGTGCAGGGGTTTAGTGGGTCAGAAGTGGTGTACCCGGGCTAAGTAAAGTGCTCTGAGAACTTCGAGTTGAAAAGGGACATATCGTAAATAATGTTACAAATACTGTCACAGATCAATAAGGACAAGCAAGCATGCTAGTCAAATATATTAATGGCAAGAAACTTTAACAGCGACATATCCTGGTAGTTCTCTATACAATCCTATATAAGAGTGATGGGCCCTTAACTCTAAACTTTTGATCACTTATATGTTAAGAGTTAATAGTGAAACAACATTGCGTGGGATAGAGAATGTCTGTATGCGGAAAGTGCCACTGAGTCACAGCCGACTTGTAGTGACCTCACAGGGTTTCCAAGGCAAGGGATGTTCAGAGGTGGTTTCCCATTGCCTGCCTCTGCATACCAACCCTGGTATTCCTTGGTGGTCTCCCATCCAAACATTAACCAGGACTGACCCTGCTTAGCTTTCGAGATAAGAACATAAGAACATAAGAGACGCCAATTTTGGATCAGGCCAAAGGCCCATCCAGTCCAACACTCTGTGTCACACAGTGGCCAGAAATACCAGTGCCATCAGGAGGTCCAGCAGTGGGGCCAGGACATTAGAAGCCCTCCCACTGTTGACCCCCCCCCAAGCACCAAGAAGACAGAGCATCACTTGCCCCAGAGCCCCTAGCTATACCTTGTGGCTAATAGCCACTGATGGACCTCTGCTCCATATGCTTATCTAATTCCCTTTTGAAGCCATCCATGCTTGTAGCACCCACCACTTCCTGTGGCAGTGAATTCCAAGTGTTAATCACTCTTTGGGTGAAGAAGGACGTCCTACCCAGAACCCCTAGCTATACCTTGTGGCTAATAGCCACTGATGGACCTCTGCTCCATATGCTTATCTAATTCCCTTTTGAAGCCGTCCATGCTTGTAGCACCCACCACTTCCTGTGGCAGTGAATTCCATGAGTTAATCACTCTTTGGGTGAAGAAGTACTTCCTTTTATCCGTTCTAACCCGACCGCTCTGCAGTTTCATGGAGTGCCCACGAGTTCTTGTATTGTGAGAAAGGGAGAAAAGTACCTCTTTCTTTACCTGCTCTTTCCCATGCATAATCTTATAAACCTCGATCATGTCACCCCTCAGTCGTCTTTTCTCCAAGCTAAAGAGCCCTAAGCGCTTTAACCTT